TGGCGCTATCATGGCGCTATCATGGCGCTATCATGGCGTTATCATGGCGCTATCATGGTGTTATCATGGCGCTATCATGGCGTTATCATGGCGCTATCATGGCGTTATCATGATGCTATCATGACAGTATTATAACCATATCTGGGCAGAACTGAAGAGTTTGATGCTGAGAGAGTTCCTTGTGTTTGCGTAGTCTCCTGTGAGCTTTATTTTACAAATCTCCTGCAACTAACAGCTCACATCTATACTGTTGGCTCCCAGCCAGGATAAATAAGAGATAGGATATGGAAATATTCATCAGTCTCTGTGTGTGTTTAGGCCATTGCTCCTCTTCTGGAAAACAACCACCCACCACCTGACCTGTGTGAGTTCTTCTGTAAGGTAAGCCCATGTGTCAAAGTAGAACAACGCTGATAGTAAAGCCATGATAGTAAAGAGAAATGGTTTTAAGCGTTTCACAGTGCTTCCTGTTAATAGTCATGGCTGTGTGTTGCAGCACTGTCGGGAGCGGCCGCGGTCCATGGTGGTGATCGAAGTTTTCACTCCTGTGGTCCAGAGAATCCTCAAACACAACATGGTGAGAACGGCTCTGTCCTGGAGCTGCACAGAGCCTTCAGTAATAGAACTAGGAATCTGTTATATTTAGCCTGTTTAATGCATGCAATTTCATGTTTATGGTTGTTTATGTGCAAGTCGCTACATTCTTTAGGTCTCGTAGGACAAGAAATGCCTTCAGTTCTTCTGATAAGTCTGATCTAAATCCTGAATATATATATTAGAAAATATATGATAAAAACCTGATGTTGGCATGTTAATCAGACAGGACCCTTAATCAGCTCAGCCCAGTGAAACTAAACCTAACATTTAAAATATGTATATGTTTTATTTTACCCAGCAGTTAATCATAAAGCAATGGATAAGGAGATTGATAGAGAAACGGACCAAAAAACAAAATCTATAATGAAATCAGATGTTGCTGAGGGATTAAGGCACTAACCATGACTCATGTTAACGCTCTAAAAGGTTTCTTTCTCCATACCAAAACAAAAGGGGGAACCTCCTCCTTTCTGATGTAATCCTGCAGTTCTGTCTTCTCTCTTTGGTCGGGTTGATATATGTTAATTGTGTGTCTCTGACAGGATTTTGGAAAGTGCCCTCGACTGCGTCTCTTCACTCAGGAGTACATCCTGGCTCTCAACGAGCTGAATGCTGGGATGGAGGTCGTCAAGAAATTCGTCCACAGGTGAGGCACCACGGCACACGTCCGTGTCAACGGGTCCCACAAGATCGTCAACGCCCCGCTGGGTCACATGTAGACACGTTAATGACTGCTGGTGTATTACAGGGATGAAAGCCTCCTAACAACACTTAGACTCTCCGTTACTCATACTCAAAGCAGCGTGAGGCTGATGCTGATCCTTCAGTAGCCAGACTAACCTGCACCCATGTGTGTTGCAGCATGCACGGGCCAACGGGGCAGTGCCCTCACCCACGCGTCCTGCCAAATCTGGTGGCAGTGTGTCTCGCCGCCATTTACTCCTGTTACGAGGAGTTCATCAACAGGTCAGTCAGTACACACTCACTCACACACTCACAGTCTATTTCAGAACTTGATGGAGTTTGTAAACTTGCCTCACCACCTTCACTTCCCTTTCCACTCATGTCATCTTGTTTATCTGACCGCTGCAGTGTGAGCAGCTCAGATCTGTCTGTGGGTCAGCGGCATGGAAGGCTAGAGGAGCCTAAGCTCCGCTGGGGCTTCACACTGCCTCACTGCTTGTGTACAAAATGGCTACCTGAGTCAATGTGTGCTCTTTGCTGACAGTGAGTGTTGTAGGTGACAGAACCACATATAGAGAGATTTACAGACATTATGTGAGTTACTCGATACTCTTTATTAAACATCTGTCAATAAGAGTCATTTGATAACGTACGAACAAGAAGTGCACAACTGGTTGAAGTCTGTGATAACTGTGATTGTTACCCAGAACGAAATGCGTGTTTCCAAGTATTATTATTGTTGGTGCTGCTGTCAAAAAGACAACCGGACTCTCCTCAGCTCCTAGCAACAACACAGGACATGCTTGGTGTTGTTGTCCATAGTTACTCTGTAGAGAGGAGAAGTTCGCTGTGGGACCCGGAAGAAATATGTTCAGTAGTCAATTGCAATGATCTCTGCCTTTTTGAATAATGCCATGAATTACACATATGATGTTTGTCAGGAAAGTGGCAGCTCGTGGTAGACTTGTCGTATCATTTAGTTTAGTATGAACGTGATCAGTGAACATCTCTCGTCTCGCACAACGTCACCAACTACAGACGGTAGCTTGGCTTGCTAGCGAGCGCGCTAACGTAGCCATGCCCATGAACACATGTAGAGTTCTCTCAGCTGATGTGTTGAATCCAGTGACTCTGTTGATCAGAGCCAGACCTGCTGTAGGTGTGAGTACATCCTGGTACTAAACACATCGGAGGCATCGCAGCTTCACAAGTCACTTACGCCACTTTAGGGTATTTTCACTTATACCTCATATATTTCTACAGTTTTACACCAAAATACAACTTTCTTGATGTGCAGAATTATTATTCTAATTGACAAACGTGTGTGTAATTCATGGCACAATTCAAACAGGATCAAAAAGTTTTTTGTTTCTCACCCTTGACTACAATACAAATCTTTGACCAAATACGGTCCCATGCTGGGCATCGGAAGGCGGGACTTCGTCTCCCTATAGCCGTCACTGGGCGGTGGATGGATGATATGGGATTTAATGGCGGATCACGATAAAAAAACACTCACAATAACTTGTTTGTGGTGAATTTTCATTATCGGTATAATCGTGAATATCGATATAGTCTAGTTCGCTATCATGGCGGAGAAATAAAAATACAGTAATTATCATGTGAGAAAGAACAGACTCTTAGAATGTATTAATTCAGGGGGACCTTATGATTTATGATGATGACATTTCCTGTAAATCTTAATGCTGGCCGTAGAGGACACACTTACAGCAAACAGATGCAGTGTGAGAAAGAAGCTCAGCACAGCAGACACAATACCTGTTTGTTCAGCTGTCGTGGTCGAAGGGTCATTCTTTTGTCATTGATTGGATAAACAAAACACACGATTGTTAATTTCCCACATCTTGTAGGACTAATATGAAGGAAACGGTACAAACAGTAATCTGCAGTGTTACCGGGAAAGCAGATCAGATACGTCCCGTCATGAGACCACGGTGTGCCACTTCAAATCTAAGCTAATTAGCAAAGTCCCCGTTTATTATTGATTCGTCTTTAAAGGAACAATAACTCTACAGTGTGATACAATAGATTTACATATGCCACGGTACATTAGAGAAACCAAACCCTTTCCATCACCTAAGCTCAGTCACAGTCTGTTTGCTTTCTGTTCCAGTGTTTCTGTTGAAGTGGTCGTGTTTCTTTCTGGTGTGTTCCATAGAGGCTTTGTGTTGACTGGAGATGTGGAGGTATAGGCTGAGCTGACTCATTAGCGTCATCTCCTTCGCCCCAGAGAGGATCATTCTTACTCCATTTTTCCAAGCTTCCAGCACACGGAGGAGCCGTCCCTCTGGTGACCATGTCTCCTGGATCCTTTGTCTCTTCTTTTGTCTTTCCCTTCTGTCACTTCTCTTGCTCATACTTCGACTCCTGCATTGAATAAAGGATTTGTATCTCGTCCAATTACCTTTCCCCCCTCTTCCCCCTGCAGTCGGGACAACTCCCCCAGCCTGAAGGAGATCAGAAACGGCTGCCAGCAGCAGAACGAACGGAAGCCCCCCATGCCGCTCCGTCTGCTGCGCCCCGAGCCTCCGACGCCGCCTCCTGCCACCCTCCTGCCCCTCACCGCCAACCCCAGCCCCCCTCAGCCACCTCCCCCCGCCCCCTCAAACCCCACCCCGTCCATTCCCTTCTCCTCCCTGAAGCCCGCCCTGCCCCTCTCCCCTCCCCCCTCCGTCGTCAACTCCAGCGAGATCCTGGTGGAACTGGAGCGGAACAACAACTCGGCCAACGCCAGGCGGAAGGGCGGGCCGTCGGGGGGCGACAGCGAGCCCAACCTCATCGACTGCCTGCTGGTCAGCCCGGCCGTCAACACTCTGTCCATCCAGCTGCCAGCGCAGGCCGACCGGGTGCTGGGCTGCTTCGCTCTCATCCTTAAGATGCTGTGAGTAATGGAACCCAGAGTCAGATACGACGATCGGTAGCTGAAGCTCTAGGTGCTATCCAGAGATGAAGCAGGGGACTAGCAGTTCCCCCTGCATCCAGTCATTGGATCCTTTATTCTGATGTTACTATTCATCTTCTCCTCTGACTCTGACTGTATAAGACCGCAACAAGGGCAACATAACTGCTGTTAAAGGGCCAGTGTAGCTGATTGCAACCTCCTAAATACCCCTCTGCTCACTCTTCTTTTTCCAAGACTGGTAACGTGAGCCACCGAGTGCAAAACCGCGGTAACGCCATTCTCCTCGCTCAGAGGCCATCCATACCATAATGACACACCGACGGTGGCTGGCAATAGCATGCTTTTGCACTCGGTGGCTCACTTTACCCCAGCTGACCAGCGTGTTGGAGAACTATGGTGGCCTTCGGGTAATGTAAACATGCAAAGGCTCTCTCCGGAGCCAGTGTTTGTCTGTTCTGGGCTACTGTAGAAATATGTAGATACAAACGTGTCATTCTAAGGCAAAAACACAAAGATTGTTAGTATCAGGTGATTATACACTAACTAAGTCATAGTTATGAATATCATATTCCATTTCTGCTAATGGATCCTCCTTTACAGCTCTGTAGGATGGACCTGAACACATGTGGAGAGGAGTAGAGTAGAGATCACACAGCTTGAGAGATTGAATGGTGAACCGTGGGACAAAAGAACACAGATATGGTCTGTTTGTAAAGGTGCTTCGGCCTAAAGAGCGTTGCTGTGTCTGTACGTTTGTAACAGTAATGTGAAGCTGCTCCAGCTTCTGTTGAACCAGCGCTGAGATGACGCAGGCCCACGGCTCGTGTTTCAGCTGCTCCTTCATCTCTGTGTTCTCCAGGCTGCACCCTCCTCTTTACATTGTCACACCGACTCACTTCATCTCTTTCTCTCCTCTTCCTTTCACAACCGTCCGTCTCGGTCAGGTCGGACTACGATGACTGGAGACCTGCTCTGGCCAGCCTGCTGCAACCCATCCCCTTCCCAAAAGAGTGAGTACACACGCATCACACCGACGCCATCGCATCTTATTCACCTCTCTAGTGATCTCTCATTCAAGCCACAGAAATGACCCACAAAAGCTTGAGATGTGTAATTGTATTTACTAAGTAAGTACTTCAAACTCTTCAGCATGTTTTTGAAAAACGGTATTAACGGTCAGCTGTGGGAGAAGTATCGAGAAACTACACTGAAGTAAAGTAATGATACCAGTTTGATGATAGAACATGTCAAAACCTTATTTCATTGAAAGTGCAAAAGTCTTTCTGAAACATTTACCTCAAGTAATTATGGAGCGGAATGTCTGTAGGAGTTATATTATTATATGTTATGTTATCAAATGTTATATTATTATATGTTATATTATCAAATGTTATATTATTATATGTTATATTATCATATGTTATATTATCGTATGCTATATTATCGTATGCTATATTATCGTATGCTATATTATCGTATGCTACATTATCGTATGCTACATTATCGTA